TGGGCCTGGGCCTGTAGCTGGTTATGTGCATATGTGAGCGTAATGGGTTCGGTTTCTTGACTTGGGTGAAGGTTAAAGGTTTACATTGTAAAATCTTACGCTGGACTTCTTATGGCTACAGTAAAGTTCTTTTTAAGGTAATGTTGAGGTCTCCACAAATCAAAAATCAGTTGCAAAAAGGAAAAAAAAATCACATATGGGAGTGATTTTTCACTCCAAAAAATTGATTTTTTTTTACCGTTATTTCACTATTCCAACAGTAAATTTTGACTTCTTCTCTCACAGGTGGCATCCACTTTTCTCCTAATAGTCAAAAAATCAATTCTCAAATGGGGCCAAAGAGTTCTAGTACTTCTTTCTTGGTAAGTTTTACAACGGGGTGGTAGGTCATTTATATAAAATTATGAGACTTATTGCTCTCCTAAGATATCGAGTACCTCAATTAATTTACAGCGATTGAAAATTTTGGAAGTGAATTAAATATGTTGGATTTATTCTAGCTATTTCATAGAGGTTATGCCATAAAATAAATAAATAAAGGGTTGCAAAATATTCCACTTGTTCACATTGAATGATCTTAATATTTTAGATTTGTCCAAAGATAGTGATCCCTTTCCAAAGTAATTGTTTTTTTTTCCCCAAATATTGCCAATTTTGAAGTTTATGACATAATGCACATAGTTGAAGTACTCTATATGATCTGGAGTTGACCTTTTTAAGGTAAACATGAATAAGTAGACTACATGGTCACGTTTTCAGTTCTTTTCTAAACATCTCACATCTATATCAATTTAATAATTTGGAGTTTCAATTGCTGACAGAGGGAGTAATATTTGTTATCCATGTCATCCAAATCTTGATATTTGATGAATTGAACATTTGGACACGTTCCTGAACCTGACATCCATATTTCAGACCAACTATATCTTATTTATTCAAAGTACGTTTCACTAGCAAGGACAGTAGTAGACACAAGGGCAACATATAGGCGTTGGATGTTCATTATGAAGGGTTGCCTCATAAGTATCACAATGTGCAAAGAAGTGTGAGAAAATGCTTTTCATTTGAGTGCTATAGTTAATTGCTATGCTTTTTAAACCAAGTTCTAGACAAGTATGATAGTTTATTGATTGTATTTGAGATTTTGAATGATACATTCTATTATTGTGGCCTCAATGGTCTGTTTGAGAATTGAAGAGNAGTGAGATCATGAGTCAATCACTATTGTTTTCAGCCCAACTCTGTCCTAATGTTCCCTTCCAAGTTCAGTTTGATGCTTAATATAACGTATTGTTTATTTTGTGAATTAGCCGCCCTTCTATGCTCCCTCAATGGTTATTTAGGAATGGATATTGATCTACAATGTCTTAATTATTTTTGGTCCCTTTTAGCCTTCTATTATGATACATCACTTTTTATTCACATACACCCAAATGATTGCACTAGTGTTAAAAACATGGAACTATTTCTATGTTTTCTGTGATTATCTCTATAATAGTCCGATCGTTAAATTAGTATATACTTTTCATTTATAACCATTCTTAACTCTACAATAGTCGGTCATTCTCGTGGTGGTTTCTAGCAACAAAATTCTAGAAGCATTATTATTCATTTCACTATTTATACCTCAATTATATTCACCTCATAGTTGCTAAAACAAAAATATCAACTGTTGGTCAAGGTGCTTTGCCATAAAGTGATGCCTATGGGATCATTGCATATACAGAATCAAAGCCAAGATAGTTATGTGAACATTTGATATTGGCTTTATTCCTTCAGCTTGACACGCAAAATAAAACTTTATCCTATGATACTTTGGGCCAGGTACTACTACCTTTTCATGTACTTCCCTTCATTTGGATCATTTTCATCATTGAGATAGACATTATCGTTTATATTTCGAATGCTATCTCCAATCCTTCACTTCATCCATATTTAATCTGGTACTTCGATACTGGTGGCTATTTATTACTATTGAGAAAAACTTACCTGTAACTTTCTTGCAAGTACTGTAACTGTCTTCTCAAGCTTTCTGCTTCACTTTGCCAGAACTAGCAACACATTATGCAAAATTGTTAGTTTCCCTAGTGTATAAAATGCGGGGGATTATATGGTTAAATTGAAAGAATAGGTAAGAGGTATTAATATATTGGGGTCAAAATAAAATCGATGTGTTAAGGAATTTCAGAAACATTATATTTGTGGTCACAATCATCATTATATTCACCACATAGTTTATAAACAGTTTTTGGTAAACCAAGATTTCATTAAAAGAGAGAGAACTCTAGTACGCAAGCAGTAACCAATGAATTCACGCAGGATTATATTCATATAGGGTTATGGGGTCCTAAAACATCAAGAAGAATAAAAGGGTATTCCTAGTCCTCAACTCTAGATTTTCTAAGCTTAAAAAAATGACACATGTAGTTAAGACTTGATTGAGTTATTCATTCCTTAGACTAGCATGCAGGTGAAAATTTGAAATCCTAATAAATAAAATGTTAACGAGTGTATCCATTTTTGTTAGCATATTGTGTTCTTCTCTTGAACGTTGCATGTTTTACTTATTTCATTAGTTCTACAAAAAGAAAGCTGAAGGATGTGATAGGTGTAAAGGTTCCTTGATCTTAGCCCTAAAATCATGGTCACACAACCAGTCCACAGGAGCAAATCATGGACACGATTTATCTCAGCTCTAAAATCATGGATATACATAAGTCAAGGACACGACTACTGTAAATTTGCTATTATACCTTGTATATTGATTCACAATTAATAGGCTTCCTAGTATAGCCTTTTTGGTTGATGTATATATACATTGCAGCCCTCACTGTAATCTGTGTGTAGAAGCCAAATAATTTTAATACATGAAATATATTTTTACACCAC